GCAGGAATGCGTTTCGGTTTGAAGGGTGGGGCAGTCGTACTATACCAAAATAAAGGTAGGTTTACTGGTGGTAGGACCTCTTGTGAGTCCGCACGGGTAGGTACCACCAACCCGCCTATTTCCGCCGTGAAGCAGTAATGCGTTTCGGTTTGAAAGGTGCGACAGCCGTTGTAACTATACTGAGACCTTAGAACTTATATCTCAAGGTGGGTGGCGCATTTACGTTGTAGATGTCTATGGGCTCCAGTGACCACTTAACACCAGGTGGGCTGTGAGCTCGTCCACCCATCTAAACAATAAAAAAAATACAAATAATTCGATATTTTATACAAAAATAATAATTTGCGTAATTATTGGGTGCATTTACAAAATAATAGACAACACAATACTGCCTTATTCTTCTGCGAATTGATCGCGCGATTAGCAAAGATTATGTAGTGTTTTTAATGATGCCCTCGACGCCAGAGACTACACTAAGCATTTAAGCAATTGCTTTTTTTTCCTACCTATGCTGATAGCCTTGAGAGGCTATTTCAGCTTCGGCCTAACATGTGGGTGAGCTCACGGGGCTCAAACCGGAGTGTTGCTAACACTGGCCCTAGCAAGAGCCGTGCTTCGCAGAATCTACCACCGGATCGGAAACGCGACCCACTGAGAAGATGTCTATGGGAAGATGTCACGTACAGCCGCGATCAAAAGTTGTTTTTCTTCTTTCACAGACCGATGCAGCATTATATCAACTTACTGGCGCCATATTTAAGGAGCAGCTCGACGACTTTAAGTCTGTTCTTCTTGCAAGCGATGTGGAGGGGCGTGAATCCGTTCAGCGCTCGTGCGTTCGCGTCCGCGTTTCGGTCTAACAACAGCTTAGCCACCTGAAAGCCATATAAGACAAATAAACCAACCGTTTAGGAATTATCACTACACTCATTATTACTATCTATACTAATATTATAAAGCTGAAGAGTTTGTTTGTTTGAACGTGCTAATCTCAGTAACTACTCGTCCGATTTGAAAAATTATTTCAGTGTTAGATAGACCATTTATCGAGGCAGACTATAGGCTATATAACATCACGCTAGACCAGTCTTTCTCAAAGTGGGCGATAACGCCCCCTTGGGGGCGTTTGAAACCCAGAGGGGGGCGTTAAGGGGCCCAGGAAAAAATGGGGGGCGTTGATGTGGGTTAGGGGGGCGCTGTAAAATTTGTAATTTCATTTACTTTATAGTATTTTAAATTTCACTAAAATTAACACTCACCTACTACACAATAACGTATAATTAGTTTATATTTCTACCCTGTATGATGTTATTAAAACTTAAAATAATTAACATAGATTTCGTAGGATAGCAAGCATCAAAGCATGTAAATGTAAGCAAAAATGTAAGCCTAAACAGCTCACTTATTGTAAACATTGTTTACTATTTTATTTCTATATAATAATAGGTTGGGGAAAAAGTTTCTTCGCATTTTTTAAGGAAATTCACAAAAATTTTTTATATAGTTTATTCACATTTAACTAAAGTATGTCGATACCATTTTGTTCGATAACTTTTTGCCATCTTGTAGGTAGGGACATGATCCCATTGCTATAGAAATTTTGGGGCTTCTGATCAAAATACCGGGACAATTGGTTTTGGCAGTCTTCTCGTGATGTTAACCTGACTGCCTAAAGAATTCTGTAGAGACCGAAACAGGTAGAAATCTGAAAGTGCAAGGTCAGGACTATAGGGCGTAGGCATTAAAACCTCCCAGCCAAGCTCTTTTAATTTTTGCTGAGTGGCTAAAGATGTGTGAGGTCTAGCGTTATCGTGATGAAAAACCACACCCCTTCTGTTGATTAATTCCGGCTGCTTTCTCTCAACTTCTTGCTTTAATCTCATTAGTTGTTCGCAGTAGAGTTCAGAATCGATGGTCCTGCCTGGTGGTAACAGCTCATAATGTATAATGCCCTACCAATCCCACCACACACACAGCATCACCTTGTTGCGAGTTAACACGGGCTTCGCCAGAGTCTGTAAAGCCTGACCGGCCTTTGACCACAACCTTTCTCGTACGTTCTTGTCGTACGTGATCCACTTTTCATCACCAGTTATCAGCTTCTTCAAAAATGGTTCGGTTTCATTACGTCGTAAAAATCACAAATGAGTACACGGTTCATTAGGTTTCTTTCAGTGAGCTTTTTTGTGTACCCAGTTTTTTTCGAATGAGCCATAACTATTTTGTGGTCAATTTCCAATTCTTCAGTTACGTCGTAACTACTGATATGCCGATCTTGCCCCACTTTTTCAAAAATGGCATCGATTTTATCCGTAATAGGGCGACCAGAGCGACGTGCATTTTTGACATCAAATTTTCCGGATTGAAAACGCTTAAACCAAATTTGTGCTACTCTCACAGACACTGCACTAGATCCATAAACATCGCAATTTTTTTTCACGGCTTGCGTTGATTTTTTACCTTTTTTGTAGTAAAATTTTAAAATGTATCGAATATCTTCATTAGATTCACTCATGTTGACACTATGAAAAATAAATAAAAATCACACATCTTCCTAATTTTAATTTGGAATTATCTTCTTTCGAATTCAAACTTTTAATGATACCAAAACCAGGCAGATACAAATAGTATAGCCAAAGAGATTTTATTACAAGTTCATACATTTTTAAGCTATTGCATAGCTTTTATCGTGGGTATTGAGCGCGGCAACCGAATCATGAAATTCCGTAACGAAATAAACCTAACATCCCTCACTCCGCCTACCATGTAGCTCGCGTTAAACACATTCACACGTTGCGCTTGTGTAGTGTTTGTGAATAAGCGCGTGGCGTGACGTCACACTGCATGCGCATCATGAAAAGTCTGCCCATCTCTCTCTCGCACGGTTTAGCTTATGAGTGTGCAGGGGACAGTTAAGGTTTTGCCTTTATTAAGGCTTAATATAGCGTGGTCTTGTTTTATTATTGTTTTAATATTAAATTGTCATTGTCTAATTATAATGTCATAAGTTGATAAAAAAAGTGTGTGTGTCCGCTCCGACGCACGACTGGAGTTTACTGGATATAAATATAAATTTGTGTCAGTTGAATACAGTAAAATATGGAAGTTACGTATTCTAGTGAGAATGATCCGGGAGTTGCGGAACACGTGGATGCGGTAATTAAGTAAGTCTATATAATTCACTTTTACAATTAATATATAAGTTGTCCATNACACACGAAATCGCATCATTCACTTCGTCATAGACTTGTAATTGTCGTTTAATTTTAAATAATAAAGATGTATCATCTGCGAATAATACGACCTCGTGTCGGGACTCAATAAAACTAGGTAAATCGTTTATATATATTAGAAATAAAAAAGGACCCAAAATGGAACCCTGAGGTACACCCATTTTCAACAAGGTACCTGAAGATCTGCCTACAAGGGCAATAAAAAAAAACACAAATGGCAACTTTGTAGAAAATTGATGAGGCCAGCCCGGCTTAGATTCGGGTATTTGGGGATTCCATGTGAAGATACTACATTAGAAAGGTTTTCGGACGACGAGAGTAATACTATAATTATCAACTAGCCTAGTGTTCTAATTTAGTATATTGTATTCGATTGTATTTCTAAAACAAACTATGCGACCATTAAGTATTTAATGTTAAATTACTGCAACAGTCTGGTAATTAGTTCTAAGATGTTCACTCCTTTTCTCACAGAGCAAGTGTTAATGCACATATTTTCTTGTGCACGTAAATTCAAACACTATATATTGTCACTAGCGACCCGCCCTCGCTTCGCTTCGGAAACATTAAAACAAACATGAAACCAAAAAAAAAAATTAAAAAAAAATTAAAAAAAGTAGCCTATGTTCATCAGGGACAATGTCCGCTTCTAATGGAAAAAGAATTTTTCAAATCGGTCCAGTAGTTTCGGAGCCTATTCGAAACAAACAAACAAACAAATCTTTCCTCTTTATAATATTAGTATAGATATAGATTGATCGCTTTCTGTTGATAATGAAATTTAAGTTTTAAATTTATTAACAGACTTCAAAACAAAATGAGGACCCTCAATTCAGTGGCTTTATTATTACTGCTTGTTACCAAAGAACTTCGGAATTCCGAATTCATAAACCTATTTAGAAAATATATTATATATTTTTTAATTTTTTTCAATGGATTTGTTTTCGTGCTCATAAATATGGTCTACTGTTGAAGTCAGTTTAAAAAAAAATCAATAGGTTATTTTGGTTATTTCGTTAAATTTATTAGGTTTCTAAATATGATACCCATTATTGTTGGCATTATGAATATGTATATTACCAATTTAAGTAGAAACAAACATTCAAATTTAAATCTGAAATTATTTAATTTTTTTTATACATCATTGAACATTTTTATCAAATAAAACTTCCCCTTAGCTACGGAACAAATTCAACCGGCCTGCGCTTTTTTTAAATTTACGTATAGTTAATTATTGTTTTTTTACAAACAGAGCCACGATTTAAATATATTAAAAGAAATATGATTATTGATAATCTATATATTAATACGTGAAGCAAAAACTTTGTACCCCTTTTATCGAAAATTGCGCGGACGGAGGAGCATGTAATTTCCCACACTTATAGAGAATATAGAGAAGAATGTTATTTTTTTTTTTTAAATAATGCATTAATAATACATTAAATCAATAAAAAAACATTACACACACCACCATGAATTTGACACACATATATACTCATTGTTTATTGGCAAACCTTTCTTATTGCTTAAAGTCTGTGGTCAAATTGAGAATAGATTAAAATTGTTTATCTTTAATATATTTGTCTATAGTGTGGTCTTGGTGAAATCTGTGAATAAAGAAGTATTAATGGTCTTTGACAATAGAACCATAATAAAGTTCAAACTTATGATTTCAATTAATTATAGTCGAATTTCGACTACTGCGAGACCACTAGTAATAATAATTTTCAATAATCTCTGTCGGATTATGAGGATTGTATAGTTTACCATTATTTGCAGGTACATTAACGTCAGCTCCTCTCTCGATGAGCATCTCGACGCAGTCCTCGTGTCCCTCTTGTGCCGCCATGTGTAGAGGTGTGAACCCAGCTTTCGATTTTACCCCGGGATCGGCATCTGAACGAAGAGCATATGCTTATATTATCTATGGTTTCATAGGAAAACAGTGTTGCGAACTATCTGATGGTGACTATAATTGTCATTGTAACTGTACTGAGACCTTAGAACTCATATCTCAACGTGGGTGACAGCATTTACGTTGTAGATGTCTATGGGCTCCGGTAACCACTTAACACCAGGTGGGCTGTGAGCTCATTTACCAATCTAAGCAATAATATTTAAAAAAGTGGAGGCCGTTGGCTCATCTCCAACAGTTTCATAGTCGAACTATGGCTTACCGGTGAGGACTGTTTTGAAATCTCGTTTCAAAGATACGCCCTAGCGCGCAGTAAGCACCGTGGAGCTATACATCTAACCGTACGGTACGTAGAATACGTTAAGTGTCAACGCAGCGGTACCAGATGGCGGGATGGCCTCTGCTCCAATTGGTGGGGCGATGATGAGCTCAAACAATTCCTCACAGTACTCCACTTTCGATTTTGACAATCTTACAAAACGAATATGAGGCCTTCGATTAACAAAACCTTACAAATAAGTCATATGTTACACAATCATTTTTAAAAATGTTTACCGGTGTTAGGACCTCTTGTGAGTCCGCACGGGTAGGTACCACCACCGTTGTAACTATACTGAGACCTTAGATTTTATATCGCAAGGTGGAGGGCGCATTTACCAGTAACCACTTAACACTAAGTGAGCTGTGAGCCCGTTCACCCATCTAAGCAAAAAAAAAACGCACGAAATTCCGTACATGCTGTTTCTGTTTAACAGCCTATCAGAATATAAAACATGTTTTTCTTAAAAAAAAAATTGATTCTGATTTACTCGACAACGATTTTTTATTTTACGTCAAGTAATATTATTAATGTTATTAAGCAAAACGTCGTTGTCAAACCAAAATCAGCTATGTGCACATTTTGAGATTTTTACTTTTTGACCTTTTCGTATAGTTCACAGCCCTATATATACCGTACAAAAAAAAACCGTTATGTGTCTATAGCTTTAATATTTATCTATAGCTTTCATTTGATATAGTTCTTAAAAATTCACCTTAATATAAAATTTTATACGAAAATGTTTTTACTCGTTAATTCAAAATAGAGTTTTTGCACATATGTAACAGATTTTGGTTTGATAGCGACGAAAAAGCGTTTTTCCTTTATACCTTTATACTCTTTAGTCTATAACAATATCTTCAAGCTTATATACATCGTGTTCAATCTTACAATATACATATTTATTTACATGAGCATCAATTAGAAATAGTGTCAATAGGAAATTAGCCTTTGTTTTTATGGCATTTAAAGTATATTAGGAAACTCACCGTGTTCAAGAAGTGCAAAGGCGATATCGGGGTGGTTGTGCCGACAGGCGATGTGCAGAGCCGAGTGACCGTTTTTGGCTAACGAATGCGGAGATGCGCCTATAAAAACATCAGTACTAGCATTTAGCTTAATAACATTAGCGTACTAAGCGTACAGCCATACAATAATAATAATAATAATATTTATTCAAGCCTCTTAAAACACAAACACGTATAAGAATTCTTAACACTAGTATAATAATATACATGGCTTTTTTATGAGGTATACAATAACAATATTCCCTGACTTTTATGCTAGGAAAACCTGTGTTACAAAAGTCATTGGAAAAAACAATAGAACGTTTATTTCCATCATTTACTTTCAAAATGCGGTACATTCGTCTGGTGAAGCGTAACTAAGTGTATAAAGTCAATTATAGCATAAGTTTTTGATAGTTTTAACACGTTGAACGCCACATGAAAAATCGAGTGTTTTCATTTAGGCCACGGTGGTCACCGGTGAACCTTATCTTACTGAACCGTTTTGGCCATTGTTAGGGAACCGACTAAAATTCCCTTTTTTCCTAATCCACGCCATCTATCGGGGTTTATGAAGAATTGTAACGCGCCTCCTAGCGGACGAAGAAAAAGAACTGAGTTGTTTTTCGCACAGCGTGCGCAACATTAAGAAAAGGCTATTTAATTCAAAAATACTGTTTTTCGCAAATTCAACTTGTGCGTGTGTCCGTGTGTCTTAAACTCCAGCATCCAGAACAGTGCTCCGGGGACAGAAGACCACAAACAATATCAATGAAGCATTTGTGAGTACCTTCCTCCCTTTTAGTCGGTTTAGTTTTCTGGAAATTAAAATTTTATTCAACAAACCTTGTTTATACAACAGCCATGAGGGTCACCCGTGAGGCGCGTAAGGGTTCCAACGTAAACGCTTCCTACAAGCCACAGATTGTAGCCATTTTAAACTTACTATAATTAAGATTTTACTGCTCCGAACAGATAATTACGGATTCGCGCTTCGTACTTTTTTTGTAAGAATAATTTGAGTAATTTATTTTTTATTATGTTTTTTTAATTCGTATACATTCAATTTCTTAATTTTTTTTAAATTTCATTCCTAATGATTAACAACAACTATTGTATAACTATAGATCATTTATAACTGAGTTAGCTTTTTAAATCACAACAACACAGCCACAGATTACAGCTATCAAACAAAACGCGTATGGAGAAGTCAGCCGCGTGGCCCTTTAGCCAAACCGAACGGCACGGTTTTCTAATCCAAGAGAAACTTGTGTTTTTTTATCAAGGCCTTTTAAAATATCTTAAAGACTAGACGGTTAAAGTCTCCTTTTTTTCTATCTGCTGTGCAAATTATCGCATTTTATAAATTCTAGAATGAAAATCTCAAGTTGATAAAAATTACAGATTCCATGATTTTGGCTCGGCCCGAATAGCACAGTACGCTAGGCCCACCGGTGGGTCGCAAAGTGTTCAATGTGTTAAACGTATCTACCACATAAATTAATTGATGAAGCGACATACAATATTCCGACACAAAAAGGACAGGTTTTGTGCACGAGAAAAAAAAAAAACAAGGTAAGGTAAGATAATTGAATGTATTCCGACCAGGAGAGGTGGCAGGGCAAAAGGTATTGGTACGTGTATTCATAATCACGGTTCTTATGTTGAGCAAGATGTATAAAAATTAACGAAGATAATGTTTGTCTTTGTTGATGACGGTGTTAAGTTTCCTCCTTATATCTGATATTGGCCCAGAACATATCGTATTACAAAAAACCCTGTACAGATATTCATCGATGGTATTTCTGGCCCGTACCCATGCAAGGTTCAACGGACAGAGTTCAATAAACCATAATCGTTTTTCGAAACAATTTTCAAAAAGTTTCTTTTATTGCCCGAGTACTCGAGCATACGGTCTACCTGATGGTGAGTGGTTACCGTCGCTCATAGTCGTCAGCAATACCAGGGGCAGAGCCGCTGTCTACCGCTTAATACTCTCCACAAGCCTCGCTTGAAGAAGGAAATGTCATAGCACTCGGGAAACACCGTCGAGGGGAGCTCATTCCAAAGCCGGATGGCACGTGGCAAAAATGATCTCTGGAAACGCACTGTGGATGAACACAGCGGTTCCAGATGATATAGATGAACTATGCTCCGACGGCGGGAGGTGCGATGATAAACAGGAGATGAGGGGATCATCTCAAACAATTCCTCAAAGCACTCCCCATGGAACATACGGTACAAAATACAGAAGGAACCGAGGACCCTCCGCAGACCCAGAGGTTCCAAACGATCCGTGAGAATGGGATTATCGACAATCCGAACGGCCCTCTTCTGTATAGAGTCAAATGGAAGAAACTGGTATTTGGGAGCCCGGCCCAGAGATGGGAGCGGTACTCGACGCCAGGCCGGACTTGTGCTTTATAAAGCAAAAGTCTATTATGGATGTACTGTGACGGCACCTTTATCCAAGAGCAGCAAGGCGATGTCGGGGTGTCCGTAGTAGGTGGCCATGTGCAGGGGGGTGATGTGGCTCTTCCCGGGCGCGTCGGGCTGCGCCCCGCGGGCCAGCAGCAGCCGCGCCACGCCGATGTCTCCGTACTTGGCCGCCAGGTGGAGCGGCGTGAACCCTTTGCGCGTCTCCGCTTCTATGGGCGCGTTGTTGTCCAGGAGTATAGCCGCTACTTCTTCCTTGCCTGTCGAATTATATCACAAATTACATCGATATATTTGATTGTTTTTTATTGATTAGAACAGTGGACAAGCTCATAGCCCACCTGGTGTTAAGTGGTTACTGGAGCTCATAGACATCTACAACGTAAATGCGCCACCCACCTTGAAGAGCCGATCGAGGAACGGATAGAGGTCGCTCCAAATTAACTAATAAATTTAATAATATAAATTTTTTACTGGTGGTAAGACCTCTTGTGAGTCCGCGCGGGTAGGTACCACCGCCCTGTCCATTTCTGCCGTGAAGCAGTAATGCGTTTCGATTTGAAGGGCAGGGCAGCCGTTGTAATTATACATTGAGACCTTAGAACTTATATCTCAAGGTGGGTGGCGCGTTTACATTGTAGATGTCTATGGGCTCCTGGACCACCAGGTGGACTGTGAGCTCATCCACCCATATATGGTACACAAGTCCGAAATATAGCATGCATGGAGGTGCCGTATGTAGCGAGACAAGGCGCGGCGGTGTCGAACCTTCTTTGGCGGCGATGTGCAGCGGCGTGTACCGGTCCTTGGTGGTGGCGGCCACGTCGGCGCCGTGCTGCAGCAGCAGCGCCGCGATGTCCGCGTGCCCCAGCCGCGCCGCCACGTGCAGCGGGCTCTGCTCCTCGCGGGCGCGCGCGTCCACCTGCAGCACGTGCGCGCCCGTGTGTACGTGTTCCCGTAACCCATCCAAGGTGTCGGATGGATTAAAAGACAATACCAAATTTTGAATTGTCTTTCAATCTTTGTTTCTTAGCCTCAAAATTAATTTAAATTAACAATACCTGCGTTACATGTTTCACCTTATCTGTATATAACGGGCAGATAAAATAGTTAAATACCTTTTTTCTACTTAGTCTCTATTTTTTATTTTCATAAGTCTTTTAATTATTCTTCATCATAAGGCTTTATATCAACAGCGAAAAAAAAAACATTAAAAACAAATAATATGTAGTTTAAAAAAACTAACAAAATACGCTTTCATAGAAAATCCAACTTAAAAATAGAAAATAAATACTACACTATTTTTAATTCAATTTATTAAAATTTATTTTATAATTTTTAGTTGAATATCAATTTGTTCAATTTTTTATTTAATATTGCATTTTCATCGGTCAATCAGACGTTTTGAAGGGGGTCAAAATCATGTTCAAAGATTCCGTTACATACATGCGTCTGATGCTAATAAAAGCGTAGGTATTAAAAAAGTTATGAAAAAGATAAATGAACTGTATTATTTTGATAGTGTACCTTGGCGTTATTCCTGAGGAGCACCCGGACCAGGTCGGTCTGGTGCGCCCTGGCGGCCAGGTGCAGCGGCGTCTCCCCGCGGGCCGTGGCGGCGTCGGCGTCCGCGCCCGCCCCTATGAGCACCAGCGCTATGTTCATGCAGCCCATGAACGACGCCACGTGCAGAGGCGTCAGGCCCGACTCGGTGGTCGCCGATTTACCTGCAACAAGCGGAGGTTACATCCGGACGTCTAATATACCACCACCTATTTCTGCCGTGAAGCAGTAATGCGTTTCGGTTTGAAGGGTGGGGCAGCCGTTGTAACTATACTGAGACCCTTAGAACTTGTATCTCAAGGTGGGTAGCGCATTTACGTTGTAGATGTCTATGGGCTCCAGTGACCACTTAACACCAGGTGGGCTGTGAGCTCGTCCACCCATCTAAGCAATAAATAAAAAATACAGCTAATTCGATATCTATATACATAAAAATTAATTGCTGTTCGTTAGTCTCGCTAAAACTCGAGAACGACCGGACCGATTTGACTAATTTTGGTCTTGAATTATTTGTGGAAGTCCAGAGAAAGTTTAAAAGGTAGATAAATATTAAAATGCTCGGAATTAAATAAAAATAAAAATTTTGTTTTTTCTTTCATTTGTCCCCCGTCGGACAGATTCCTTTTGTTTGTTTTAAGTTTATTTTATACAAAAGTTTAGGGTCTTTTATTTCTCGATTGAGGCACTACGAAATCTGCCGGGTCAGCTGGTTTCATATAAAAATAATAGTTTGCGTAATTATTGGGTGCATTTATTGAACAATAGACAACACAATACTGCCTTATTCTTCTGCGAATTAATCAAGCAATCAGCAAAGATTATGTCATGTTTTTTAATGACGCCAGAGACTACACTAAGCACAAGCATTGTTGAAGTCACGTACAGCCGCGATCAAAAATTGTTTTTCTTCTTTCATAGACTAATGCAGCATTATATTATCAACTTACTGGCGCCATATTTAAGAAGCAACTCGACGACTTTGAGTCTGTTCTTCTTGCAAGCGATGTGAAGGGGCGTGAACCCGTTCAGCGCTCGTGCGTTCGCGTCCGCGTTTCTATCTAACAATAGTTTAGCCACCTGAAAGTCATATAAGACAAATAAACCAACCATTTAGGAATTTTTTTTAATTTTTTTTTTTAATAAATATTTACTAACAATCACGCCACGTTGACTGGTCCCGTGATAAGTTCGTAAAGAACTTGTGTTACAGGTACCAGATAACGGAAATAAATGTAAGATTTTTATTATACACATACATATATTTAATATACATCCATAACCCTGGAAAAGACATTTATATTTATCATACAAATATCTTCCCTTTGGCGGGATTCGAACCCACGACCCCCTTGTGTAGTGACCATGTCACTTACTACTACACCAGACGGCCGTTAATTATCGCTACACTAATTATTACTATCTTTTAATAGATACATAATACTCTGGGATTCCTCTTGCAATCGTGAATCGAGAGAGAGTAATCTGTTTAGATTAACTTTGAGTTAAATACAAGCATCCTGCTTATTTATTTCTGGCACTAAGCCGTCCGCGTAGCAATTTGAAGAGTAAGACAGCCGCTACAGAATAGAACTGAGACTTCGACCGCATTCGTCTCGAATTGAATGTTTATCTTTGAGTAATTTTAGTCTCTGCATCACTTATTATAAGATCGAAATTACCTTGACGTGTCCACAATGAGCCGCGACATGCAGTGCGGTGAGGTAATCGACTGTGACGTCATCGATGGGCGCGCCCTCTGTCAGAAGTACTTTGGCCGTCTCCACGTGTTCGCCTTGCACGGACATGTGGAGAGGAGTCAGTCCATTCTGTAATTTAAATTATCAATTTTGCTTATTTAAATGTCCTGCATACCTTCCTGTCCGTTTTACTGGTGGTAGGACCTCTTGTTAGTCCGCGCGGTTAGGTACCACCACCCTGCCTATTTCTGCCGTGAAGCAGTAATGCGTTTCGGTTTGAAGGGTGGGGCAGCCGTTGTAACTAAACTTGAGACCTTAGAACTTATATCTCAAGGTGGGTGGCGCATTTACGTTGTGGATGTCTATGGGCTCCAGTAACCCCTTAATATCAGGTGGGCTGTGAGCTCGTCCACCCATCTAAGCAATAAAAAAAAAAGGATCTATTTACGTAACGAATTACATATTTCAATATAATTTTCACTAACGTCGGACAAACTTGAAAAATCAGCACACGTATCAAGGTCGATATATTAATTTTATTACTTTGGCTTAAATAGCTCGATCAATAATGATTGTGTGTATTTTTGTATTTCTTAAAATTCTTATTAATCTGGTTTAAAAGCAACAAAGAAACAATGGTCAGTAAGATTGTCCCTTACAAACAGAATAGAGGATATTAGAATTTAGATAGCATTTCAGTGGTAACGCCATAACATTAATTAGAAAGTGGGAAGATAAATTTATATTAACTGCAGTGAACTTGACATTGCAGCAATGGCGCTCAATGATCAGTATTTAAATTTAAGAAATAGTGTTCGTGGAGAGAACTCAATAAAATTATATTACTGTCTACCTTAGTCTTGCTGGTGATCGGCGCACCGTGTTGCAGCAACCGCGACACTACATTGCTGTGTCCGGATCGCGCCGCGCAATGTAGCGGGGTCAGACCGTCGCGGGTCACTGCTGCTATATTCGCGCCTGTAATTCAAAAGTGTATCTATTATATATCTTCTTCTTTTTCTCCACCTTATCCCACTAGATGGGGTCGGCACAGCAAATTTTTCTCTTCCATTCTCTTCTATTTGCCGTCATCTCAACACTCACTCTCTCTTTCTCTCTCATATCGTCATTCACACACTCCATCATGTCTTCTTCGGTCGACCTCTTCCCCCTCTACCTTGCACTACCGTTTCCAAACATCTCCTAGTCACGTGTATCTTCTCTCTACGCATCACACGTCCATACCACGCTAACCGTCCGCTCTTTATTTAATATACTCTTTATTCATATATGTATCCATTATATAGACCTTTGATAGTACACACAAGACAGTTAAGTGCATTTATCTCTTTTTTATTTAGTAGTATTGAAGAACTTTAGTGATATTAACGAAACATTATTGCAGACAGATTTCCCTCACTTTTAAAAGACAATGCGTGAAAATTGAATACGTTAAATGAATGTATGTCTTAACGTGGCAGTGATTATAGTCCAATTTCGATCACTGGGCGAATATTAATGTCTATACATACCTACTTTATAACCAATTACAAAATATATTCTTCTTTGCGCTAGCTGGGCAGACGAGCTCACAAATAATCTGATGTTAAGCGGTTAGTGGACATCAGAACATGATTGTCGCCATTAATCACGAGTTTAATAAAATTGTATTCGAACGTTATATGACATGACAAAAACACGAGCTATGCATTTTTTTTAGTAAGGATCCCAACTTTATTCAAAAAAGTTTATAGCCCATGACACTCGGGAATGGTGTATAGGTCGCGCTAATAAAGAAACGAATCTAAAATGGCGGCGGCGATCATGCGCTCTCACTCTAAACTATTGCTGTCTTTAGCACGGCGCGTACTGCATGCAAAAAAATATCAGTTCTGACTTTGTTGTTGAGTTCGAGTTTTTTCACTTTTGAGTTGTGCGACTTAGATGACTGGCAACAAAAGTTTCTATGCAAGTTAAAGAAAAGTAAAGTACATCTCGTTTGTTTTTTTTTTTATATTTGTTTACAATAAACAACATTTCCTTTCAATCTTTCTTTTTATTTGTTGACCCTACCATCCGTCAGTGCAGGTCCATAGACGTCAATTTCGTTCGTTTCTTTATTGACGCGGCTTATAGCTTCCAAACAGTGAAAGAATTTTTCAAATCGGTTCAGTAGTTTCGGAGCTTATTCAATACAAACAAACAAACAAATCTTTTCTCTTTATAATATTAGTATAGATGAGGGCATCACGGGGTTCAGCTTGGGAGACTTTTCTAGCATCTTCCCTAGCCGGAACAGTGCTTCGTAGTAGCGTACCGTGTTCGAGCAGCAGGTCGAGCATGGCGAGCTGGCCCCACTTGCTGGCCACGTGCAGCGGCGTGATGGCGTGCTTGGCGGCGCGCGCGGGGTCCGCGCCGGCGGCCAGCAGCGCGCGCGCCACGCCCGCGTTCCCGTAGTGCGCCGCGATGTGCAGCGGCGTGAACCCCGACTTGGAGCACGCGTCCGGGTTGTGCTCGTTCTTTAACAAAACACTCATTTGTTACACGCACACACGCACGCACGCACACGCGCACGCAGTCGCACGCACGCACCCACACGCAACAACGCACGCGCACGCACTTAAATTACGAGACTCGCGCTTTACGTCTACCGACTAGGGGCAATAAATAATACAAACTTATGGGACAATTCAGAAGCTAAAACTTGCGAAAGAATGAGATAGAATAGTACTTATCCTATAGACATAAACGTTTATCTTTTTTTTTGGTATCGCTTTCTCGTTTCATCATTTTCTTTTTAATCAGCAAAAATTTTTAATGCAGTGCTAAAGAATAAAGAAGAGATTGCCGTTCTTTTTTTACAAAGTATAAGTGGGTGCACTCTCATAGCGAAAGGACTAATCATTATCCTATACATTACAACGCATTTAGTACGGGCGTCTAATCATTAAATAATTCACTTTAATTCACTTAAATTTAATTTAAAATATAGCCAATTTTAATATATTATATGATCTACTGTATATAAAAATTGTTAAATTTTTTTAAATATCCCATGTTACATATTTGTCAAGCGATGACCATATCTATTTTCTATTTATAGAAGCAAACATAAAAGTAGATCCAATTATACTCCTAACGTGGAGTACTCTCACCTCTAACAGCAGAGTTGCCGCTTTCACGTCATTTTTCTTGGCCGCGATGTGTAACGCCGGCAATCGAACCTTGCCCCTTGTGTCGGATTCCAGTAGTTCCGCGACTACCCTGTCGTGTCCTTGCTGCATGGCCACCGCTAATGGCGTGAAACCATCCTGCAAATTAATAACAATAGTACTATAAAAACTTGTCCATTGCATATATGGCGCAGTTTTTAACAGCAGGCAACGGCTGAGCTGTGCTCTTGGCATTTTTGGTACGTTAAGTGGTATCCGGAGTATAGACGTCACAACGTGAGCATTCCCATCTACCTTCCCATCCCATCTAGCCAAAAAAAAAAATGAAACCTAGGCAACGGCTGAGCTGTGCTCTTGGCATTTTTGGTACGTTAAGTGGTATCCGGAGTATAGACGTCACAACGTGAGCATTCCCATCTACCTTCCCATCCCATCTAGCCAAAAAAAAAAAAAGAAACCTTAGAGCTCATATCTCAAGGGAGGTGACGGCATTTACGTTATACATGTCTCTGGTCTCCGCTAACCAATCAACACCAGGGGATCGTGAGCTCGTCCACCCATCTAAGCAATAAATAAAAAGGCTGAGACATGAGGTCAAAATCTCAATCACGTCGTACGACGGATGTCATATCCTTCAATGCGTACCACACGCTTCACAGCAGAAATAGTTCGGATGATGGTACCTATCAGAGCGGGCTTACAAATCGTATTACAACTTTACGCTAGAATACAGTTAAGTGCCAAAAAGCAGCTTCATTCTGTCTGGGCTCCCTTGAGACTGCGAGTCGCGCGTCAATTGATTTTGAATCATTTTACATAGGGCACAAAAAAAAATCAAATACAGCTTTACGAACGTTTATATCTTCGAGATAAATTTCAATACCCTATAAAAATAAACAATACCCTATTTAAACGATGTTGCAGTCACAATTATTTTCTGGATGAACGATATAAAGTATTTGTTTATTTACTTCTGTAGCGAGAGTTTGACTGGCTCCAGCGGCAAGCAGCATCTTGACGCATCCAGCATGATTCTCTTGTGCAGCCATGTAGAGAGGTGTGAAGCCTGCTGCGGATTGGGCGTCGGCCTTCGCCCCGGCCCCGAGAAGGGCTTTCGCCACCGCCTCCTGCCCCGCGAGACATGCTATGTGTAGGGCTGTGTTGCCTGTAATTTTTTTAAATATATTAATTACTAGCGGCCCGCCCTCGCTTCACTTCGGAAACATTAAATTTTATTATTGATAACAGAGTCCCACGATGTTACCCACGGTTGTTGTCGTACCGCAGGTGACGCCGCGGGGCGAAACTAGTCTAAAAAAAATAGCCTAAGTTACTCCTTATATCATCAGCTACCTATGGGTTAAAGTCCCGTCAAACTCGGTCCAGCCGTTCCAGAGATTAGCCGGAACAAACAGACAGACAAAAATTGTAAAAAAATGTTATTTTAGTGTGTGTCCACTCCAATTTTATTTATATTTGTATAGATTAGCGACCCGCCCTCGCTTCGTTTCGGAAACTGTAATTTATTATTGATTTCTCCACTATTTAATGGATGTTATTATACATATAAACCTTCCTCATCAATCACTCTATCTATTAAAAAACCGCATCAAAATCTGTTGCGTAGTTTTAAAGATTTAAGCATACATATGGACAGACAGATATAGGGACAGAGAAAGCGACTTTGTTTTATACTATGTAGTGATTACACAATCACCCATTGAACTTTAGTAATAAAAAAAATCTATTTAAAGTCTATAAAGTCATTTACTGTGTTTACACCACTAGTAGTGAGTATTATAAACTTCCTTAGAGACGAGACAGAGGTAAGATACCCAATATAATTGTGATTAGGAGGAAGAAGATTACTGGTAGCCCGAATGGTTTCCATATTCACAAGGACAGGTGGGCGAGCAAAGGCCAGAAGGGAACAATATAATTGTGCTCTCGACTCAGCTACTAGTGTCACCGCGACAAATTACTCGTGACGCTATCATTGTTTTTTTTTCTTCCCTACCTATTCCCTGGTAGCCTAAGAAGCTATTCCAGCTACTGCCGGACGGGTAGGTGAGCTCACGGGCTCAACCTGAGAGAATTTGCTAACCCTACCCCTAGCCAGAGCAGTGCTTCTCAGAATCTACCACCGGATCGGAATCGCGCCTCACTGAGGAGATCCGGCGTGAAACTCAGTGGGCTAATCACTGTTCTTCCTATGTGCGCCTCCAATCACTCCTGCTTTCCAACCAGAAGAAGAAGAAATTACCTTTTTTAGTTGCAGCGTCCACGGTGGCGCCCCGTTTGAGCAGCTCCTCGACCACTGATATGTGACCATCTTTCGCTGCTAGATGAAGAGCATTCAGTCCATTCTGGAAAATAAAATTGAATTAAAATAAAATCAACAACGCATTCGTCCGGTATTGCATCTACAGTTCCAAATGCTCTGAACATTTCACAACATCATTTTTCAGTTTTTGTTCAACGACATATTGTGTACATATATGTATGACGGCACAATTGCAGCGTTGTTTTTTTTTAATAATGACGTCAGCGTTGCTCTCTTCGATTATTATCAATGCTCTCCACAGTGACAGTAATTAAAATTTATTTTTTTGGAAAATGAATGAATTACTGGTTTTAGTCTTCTTCAGATCTTATATCGACTGCTTAATGTACAATTGTTGGTCTATACCGAAAATTTTGATGACCTTATACCTCGAACCTGTGTACCTGATTTAAGATCTGAAGAAGACTGATACTATTAATTCATTCGGGGGAAATGTAACGTAACAATCTAAAGATATTTTTACAGAAACTTACGACGGTACTTAGAACAATATTAAGATGTCGACGAATAACGCCAAAAAACTCGATATTAAACCTAGCTTGAGAAAAAACTCGGTCGAGCAACGGACCGCCAGCTACTTTGGTTGGGGAGCTTCTTGAAAGCCGTCTAGAGGACGCTGCAAACATATGCTCACCAATACTCTGCCGTGTCATTACCTGTGCGTCAAGCAACGCATCAGTCCGTAGCCAGTATTCTGTTTCAAGACGATTGCACACCACAATCATTGCGTTATAGTCCTTATCACATCATCAAATAACGAAGGCTTTTAAAATAATTATTAAGAAAACAGCGGTGACAACTCAAGTGATTCGCTTGACAGTAAAAAATAGAAGACTATTTTAAATCGCTCAATATGCAATATGCTAATTAACTTATTAGCGATAAGATCGCAAACTACATCACTTCCAAATAAAAAATACTGTTTAGTTTTGTTGAGTATAATTTAGTGGTGTAAGATTAGTTCGATCTTGCTAAATATCAAAAATCAACATATTAAATCTAGTATAGTTGGCCTAGCGGTCATTGACTAGTCCGGCCTGTTATTATTTGATAGAAGATATTTAGCATTTGGGATCTGAGTGTTTCTTCGTTCTTGCCTCGAATCTTTTTTTTTCCGTTACTCAAAGCGCATAACGAAATCCTAGGTTAGTGTTTTATTATATGGAACGTTAATAAGGATATAAATTTTTCCTCTATCGCACGGTATTATCCTGGGTATCGATCCTGAAGCCAGCGAAGCGAAACGTAGCGTCAAGGTCAAGTTCGCCTCGCAAATAACACTACGAAAGTGTTGTGAGGTTTTTACTATACGCATATTAATTTTTTTCAGAATCACATCGGCTTCACAATGGTACAATATTTTTTGTTACACATTGTAAACCGTACTTTATCTAGTTTTAAGCACATTACTAATATATTCTTGTTTGATTTGTACTTTTAAAGAGTAGAGTGGCATACGTACCACATTCCACGACCTGAGTGACGTCGTTCCACATAATAGTTAAAAATTTAATATAAAATCTACAACGTAAATGCGCCACCCACCACGAGATATAAGTTCTAAGATCTCAAGTATAGTTACAACGGCTGCCCCATCCTTCAAACCGAAACGCATTATTGCTTCACGGCAGAAATAGGCAGAGTGGTGGTACGCACCAGCGCGGACTCACAAGAGGTCTTAACACCAGTAATTACGCAAATTATAATTTTGCGGGTTTGATTTTTATTACACGATGTTATTCCTTTACCGTGGAAGTCAATCGTGAACATTTTCTGATATCGGAATTTTGCTACCCCGACCTGATGTGTTGTGGCATGATACGTCCCAAGTTTATCATCACCTCATACTTCCGAGAGCACGTAGAATATGTTGTTTTTTTTTCCTATTTGAAAATCTATATATTTGTGTAAATGTTTATAATAGTAAAATGAAAATCATAGAACGAAAAGCGAATATTGTAAACAAAAGAAACACCAATCGTAGAAACAAAGTCACGCCCTAATGCATCATGCAAGGAATATACGGCTGGAGATATAGATAAAGTAGCTAGTCTAACATACATTTGTTTGTGCTTTTCTTAAAATCACAGATTCGCGTATGGAAAAATGTATCTAATTAATTTGTTTAGTAATTTTTTTTCTCAAAACATCTGTCATTTTTGTACATACTTTGACATTAGCAAAATCAATGCCAAAGGCGTTGGAGCCAAATTCCTGTAAAAAAAAAACGCAAGTAGGATTGATATCAGACATGCATCCGTTGGTGAAACTCAATCCAAATCCCTATGCAGCATGATAAGAGCGCATGTTGCTCCGACTCCACATAATGAGGGATAAGATCAAGAAGACGCTCAACAGCGCTCGACAGCTTTTTTTATTGGTTAGATGGGTGGACGAGCTCACAGCTCACCTGGTGTTAAGTGGTTGGTTTAAGGTGACATCTACAACGTAAATGCGCCACCCACCTTGAGATATAGGTTCTAAGGTCTCAAGTATAGTTACAACGGCTGCCCCATCCTTCAAACCGAAACGCATCACGGCAGAAATAGGCAGGGTGGTAGTACCTACCTACCCGCGCGTACCTATTCACAAGAAGTCCTACCACCAGTAATTACGCAAATTATAATTTTGCGGGTTAGATTTTTATTACACGATGTTATTCCTTTACCGTGGAAGTCAATCGTGAACATTTTCTGATATCGGAATTTTGCTACCCCGACCTGATGTGTTGTAGCATGATACGTCCCAAGTTTATCATCACCTCATACTTCCGAGAGCACGTAGAATATGTTTTTTTTTCCTATTTGAAAATCTATATATTTGTGTAAATGTTTATAATAGTAAAATGAAAATCATAAAAGGAAAAGCGAATATTGCAAACAAAAGAAACACCAATCGTAGAAACAAAGTCACGCCCTAATGCATCATGCAAGGAATATACTGCTGGAGATATAGATAAAATAGCTAGTCTAACATATATTTGTTTGTGCTTTTCTTAAAATCACAGATTCGCGTATGGAAAAATGGATCTAATTTATTTGTTTAGTAATTTTTTTTCTCAAAACACCTGTCATTTTTGTACATACTTTGACATTAGCAAAATCAATGCCAAAGGCGTTGGAGCCAAATTTCTGTATAAAAAAAACGCAAGTAGGATTGATATCAGACATGCATCCGTTGGTGAAACTCAATCCAAATCCCTATGCAGCATGATAAGAGCGCATATTGCTCAGACTCCACATAATGAGGGATAAGATCAAGAAGACGCTCAACAGCGCTCGTCAAATTTTTTTTATTGCTTAGATGGGTGGACGAGATCACCTGGTATTAAGTGGTTGGTTTAAGGTGACATCTACAACGTAAATGCGCTACCCACCTTGAGATATAGGTTCTAAGGTCTCAAGTATAGTCACAACGGCTGCCCCACCTTTCAAACCGAAACGCATTACTGCTTCACGGCAGAACTAGGCAGGGTGGTGGTACCTACTCGCGCGGACTCACAAGAGGTCCTACCACCAGTAGTACCAGCTGACAATTGTGTTGTGTACAAATAAATTGTCGTCGACTAAATTATTCTAATTATACTACATTTTCTCAAGAATATTAAACAGAAGAAAAAAAAACACTAGAATAACAAAGCTGGTCGTTAAAGATCTTGATTTCAAAACTACTCGGAAATTCTAACTAAACGCTCCGCTTGACTCAAACGCACAAAGCATTTACCGTAAGCCTTCTCAAATCTCTGTTGGCTTCAAACGTTTTACTTATAATCTCTACGGAGTTGATTGTATCGCACGAATAGCTATGCGTACTAGGAACCGTAATATATAGGTTGCATTATGTTGCCTGTGTATCGCAACGGTCTTCATTGAGGAAGTTCTATATGCATCAGATTACTGCCAAGGTTCAAAGTCGCAATGGTCAAAACCGAGGTGTAAAATAATTTAAATTAGGAATTCCAATCCCAATTATTTTCCTTTTTCGAGATCGCTTTTCTTCACAATCTTTCTTCCAATGATGATGGACAGACAAGCCACCGATGCCGTAATTTTCAAACATTTAGTTATTAATAGGGAGACGGCTGACAGTGATATACTGTAATGATCTTAAGTCATGACCTCTGAGTCTGCGGAGGGACTTCAGTTCCCTCTGTATTTTGTACCGTATATTTTATGGGAAGTGCTCAGAGGAATTGTTTGAGATGATACCATCGTCTCGTTTTTACCATCGCACCGCCCGCCACCGGAGTTGAATTCATCCATACTACCTGGAGCCACTACGTACATCGACATTGCGTTTCCAGATATCTTTTTTGCCACGTACCATCCGACTTTGGAATGAGCTTCCTTCCACGATGTTTCCCTTCTTCAAACGGGGCTTGTGGAGAGTACTTAATTGTAGGCAGCGGCTTGGCTCTGCCCCTGGCATCGCTGGAGTCCATGGCCGGCGGTAACCACTCACCATCAGGCCGTATGCTCATTTGCCTACAAGGGCAAAAAGAAAGAAAAAAACGGTTTTGGCCATTCCAGGACTGTCAGTTATTAAGTGCGATTGCACTATTCCAGTGCCTTGTCACAAGGTACAAAATATATGACCTTAGCTAAAACTCACCGTATTACATGTGTTGATATCTTTGACAGCGCCCGAATCGAGGAGCTCAATTACTGTGTCGAGCTGACCGGCGCGTGCTGCTCGCAAAAATGCTGTATTTGGATCTATCTGTAAAAACAAAAGAATAAACAATTAGTTTGCAATAATTTTGTTTTGTTCGCGTTTCAGTTTCTTGCGTAGCCGATTTAGAGCGCATTAGCTACAGGTCGTTACTATATTATTATTTTTATTGCTTAGATGGGTGGACGAGCTCACAGCTCACCTAGTGTTAAGTGGTCACTGGAGCCCAACATAAATGCGCAACCCACCTTGAGATATAAGTTCTAAGGTCTTGCGCAAATTATATTTTTGCGGGTTTGATTTTTATTACACGATGTTATTCCTTCACTGTGGAAGTCAATCGTGAACATTTATTGAGTACGTATTTCATTAGAAAAATTGGTACCCGCCTGAGATTCGAACACCGGTGCATCGCTCAACATGAATGCACCGGACGTCTTATCTGTTAGGCCACGACGAATTAATATTATATTATTATTGTTGTTTTTTTAAATATAACCATCACCATGTCTTATGAACCAAACGCAATGTACCAAAAATTTAAAACTAGTAACGCGTGAGGTCAACTTTCCTATACGTCAAAAACCTATTGAGATGAATTCTCTTTATTTGCTTTCAATTGACGAAAATACTAATTTCCTTAAAAACGATAAGGTCTAACTTAAGCAAACGAATATTGATTTCCGTTCATGTTGAGGTAGTATACTTATATTGTTCTATCTTCTAAAACTTTTTTTTTTTGTTTCGGCGTACACCTCCTTTAAGGCGAATTTACATTACGAAATTAGTGGCATGAAACTAATTTCGTGACATTAGTTTTACCAACAGTTTCACGTGTAATTTAATAGTTTCGTAATGCATGCATGCAAATTAGTTTCGTGCCCTGCGCGATTTTTTGGTGAAATTAGTGTCATGCAACTAATTTCATAGTGTAGACGCGACGTTATAATTATGATCATATCTAATATTTACTTCGATTTTTAGAAGTCGGAGCCCGAATTAAAACTACTTTTCCCACTTTTATGAAACCACAAAAATAGTTTAAATTATAATCATAAAAAATATCTTAAAAAATTAGAACGCTAAATCTAAGAGTAATGATGCTAATATTTCATTGCAGAGTATCTTAAGTACCTGCAGCATTCGCTTTTACTATTACCGTAACACGTAACATTCAAGTGATTAAATTACAATTCACTATTCACTACTACAGTTCCAATGGAAAGTAGGAAGACATACGATCGAATTCCATGAACAAACCTTTGGACTTTCTTAGTGTTATTTAAATTTAAAATCCATATTTCCTTACACTGTATGTTTACGTGTCTAACCTAAGAAATTATCCGAATTTGAGTTGGGATTTATTTATTCTTCTATATTTTAAGGTACAGAAAAATCTATGAGGTCATCAGTAATTTATATTTGATGTCGGTCGTGCCCTTCGATTTCACGGTGAGTTCGTAGACCTGACGATTCCCGTAATACATGGAAAATCTTATTATGCGCTCAATTTACCTTTTGCGGAGGGCCGTGAGGGAGCGATGGGCTTTTATATACTTTGTCAGAATTCTGCTATGTAATATTTATTTTAGATTTTACACGCGTTGCTTTAGTAAAATAAGTATTATATTTAGGATAATAAATAAATATTTACTAACAATCACGCCACGTTAACTGGTCCCGTGATAATTTCGTAAAGAACTTGTGTTACAGGCACCAGATAACGGATATAAATGTAAGATTTTTATTATACACATACATATATTTAATAGACATCCATAACCCTAGAAGACATTTATATTTATCATACAAATATCTTCCCTTGGCGGGATTCGAACCCGCGACCCCCTTGTGTAGTGACCATGTCACTTACCACTACACCAGACGGCCGTTAAAGGATACTTTCAATACAAATTTAGAAGGAATTATTACTGAAGTATCATATCAAGCTCATATATAGTTTGTGTTTTTATGCTTTATGGGAATAACGACCAAGGGAAGATCTTCCTCCGAGCGGGTGATATTGCTCGGTAGACCGACGCGACGTTCCTAATGTTCTAATGTTGTGGTTCTAAACTTGTATTCAAGCTTATCTTGAAAATGTCGTAAGCGAGATTCAGGCATCTGTCAAATATCTTGTGTTGTATGATGGCTGCTACCACCACATGCTTATTGCACTAGAGCAATGCGTAATTATAAAATCATGGATCTGGACACATGTCTTCTTTTTACAAGTTTTGCCAAACAACAATTACGTAACTAAACCATAAATATGAGAGTACTACGGTAAATTAATTAATCTAAAAGCTTCAGTAATACTAGCAAGCTATAAATACCCTCCATAATTGCTTTGAAGTGCTTTCAATAAAAATAAATACAATATTGAATAATAACACAATTACAGTTGAATTTCTTGTCGAAGAAAAGTATTAAATATCTATACATATATTAATACGTGAAGCAAAAACTTTGTATCCCTTTTTACGAAAATTACGCGGACGGAGGAGTATGAAATTTTCCACACTTACAGAGAATATAGAGAAGAAGTGCACAATGCTATTTTTTTTTAATAATGCATAAAAGATACATTAAATCAATAAAGAAAACATTACACAGACTACATACCATGTATTTGACGCACACACGCATGCATACTATTTATTGTCAAACATTTGTTCTTGACGTCTGTGGTCATATTGAGAATAGATTAAATATTGTTTGTCTTTATTTATATTTTTTTATAGTGTAGCCTTGGCGAAATTTGTGATTATAGAAGTATAAAATACATTCATAATAGTGTGTACAAATTTACAATTCCAATTAATTATAGTCGACTACTACGGGACCTCTAGTAACAAAAGTTTTACGAAAAATTTAGATATTAAAAAGATTTCGTTCTTTATGAAGGAAGAAGAAGAAACAAGACACTCTTTTTTTATCCGATCCGAAAAAATATCTCTGTATTCTGCTATACTAAGTATATACATAATAAATATCGTACACGGGTTTTCCGTTTATCTGTCACTTGTTATTACGTTGATCTCCGGAGGCAAAGTCAATTTGATTTTAGTGATGTATTCAAATCAAATTTATAAGTTTCATTAATTCGATTTTCAGCATAGGTCAGTACCATTGACACATAAAAATTCTCAATTCAAAAAAAATTAGAAGAAATTATTAAAACACTTTAACTTTTTTAGACGTGCCGGATACTTTACTCTTACGTAAAAATCCTATAAGAAAAATTTAACATTCCAGATTCCTAATAAATAATAAATGCGTTGTAGGTGTTTTGAAAATATTTTCTCAGTTCGCACTTTTAAAACGTTTCTCTTTATTCTTTATTGAACACACAGTTAATATTACAGTAATTGCGATAAGATATAAAAATGGCGAGCTTAACTCAACAATTGAGTTTTCTACCAGCTAACCGTTCTTAACGAAGGAAAGCTTTAAATGAGTGGGTAGAAGAATACAATCTAATCAATTTACAATTTACAATCTAAACAATAACAATAATAAATAAATAAAAACACTAATACATAATATATCAGACTACATATATACATACACACATAAATAACGTAAACATATACATAAACGTTCATATATAACGTTTCATTCGCTTTTTTTAAATAATGTTCTAACAAAAAAAAAACACCTCCTACATTTTATATACGTTAAATGTTTGTAGTAACAAATAAGGATAAGACGATACGATTACTTAGAGAAAAAGTGTTATGTACTTTGTCAATTGCTTTTTGCGAAGTAACGTACACCCGAAGAAAAAAATCGATACCAGACAGCTTAGATAGCTTAGTAAAAAATCGATTCGGGATCTGCGAGAAGCATCGGAGATTTAAGATAAAATATCGAAACTCCTGTATCGGTTGTCAATCGATTCGATAAAGATAAGTCGTGACCAAACCAGTGCGGTGACTCAACTGAAAGATCTTTAAAGATACAATGATGGGTTCGAGTTTATCGAGGTTTGAAGAAATTTGTGAATTTTTAAGAATTCTTTGACTACATTTTTATTACCTCATTTCAATGCTTATAGTTCACATTAGAGAGGGTCGGGTTAGAATGGTTTTTAATACGCTTTTATTAGCTTCAGACGTATGTATGTTAGTATGTAATGGAATCTTGGAACATGATTTTGACCCCCTTCAAAACGTCGGGTTAATTCGAAATTTGGCAAACATATTAAAAAAAAATATTGAAAAAATTGAAATTCAACTAAAAAATGAAAAATAAATAGTAGATTAAAAAAACAAAAAAAAAATACGCTTTTGTAGAAAATCCAACTAAAAAATAAAAAATAGAAAATAAATTTTAATAAATGTTATTTAAAAATAGTATAAGGAAAAATTATTTTATTGTAACAAAAAGCGTGGGGTGATGGTATCAGCAGTTATAAATATTTTATGAACAGATATGAGTAGAAGGGTTATTTTGATAATATCCTGAAAAGCACCCCACGCTTTTTAACAATAAAATCATTTTTTCTTACACTATTTATAATTGAAATTTATTAAAATTTATTATCTATTTTTTAGTTGGATTTTCTATAAAAGCGTTTTTTTTTTGTTTTTTTAAACTATTATTTATTATTTTAACTCCTCGTCATAATACAAATGGCAATTATTAACATTGTCATACAATTCTAAAGATCAATTCTTTTTTTGGATTTATGTCATTATAAGTCTTCCTTGTGTAATCAAATAACGATTAAGTTTTGTGAGAGTAATTTTCGTTTCATTTACAATTTGATATTTTACTTAAATTATTACATACATAGAGCATTACTACAACATTTTTTCTTCCACTATATTTGCAAATATTAAACCTATCAGTCTTGTTCGAATGGAAGCATCAAATTTTCACAAATCCAATTTTAACATAATGTGATTTTTAATGATAAAGAATTATTTCTGTTTCTCCTAAAAATGTATGTTTTCATTATTAGATTGTATTCGGTCTGTGTCGGATTGTCTCAGAAAGAATGGAATAATAAATTTTTGCTTTTCAATAGTTTTAAATTATTC